AACCCCGTGGACACCAGAAAACTAGTAGACTCTCCCATTTCGACGCGCCGAATTTATCTGAGTTTTCCTTCCCTGATCCACGCTGGCGTCAGGCCGACCGCTCCAGAAATATCGGAAGTCCTCTGTTCAATCGGAGTTTCATCTACAGTAATCCACCAACGGTTCTGTGTGCTGAGGTAAGTCAGGTGGTAGGTGGTCCAAGAACAGGCCCCGAAGGGATGGAAGGCTTTGTTGGCCTCGGGACGACTCACGACCCAGGATTTGATCCCCGGACCGCTCGCGTGGTAAGCGCGCCACTTGTCACTGCACCACTTCCGCCCTTAGAAAGGCAATGTCAATAACAATCCAAATCCATAAAAATTGAGATAGAGTTTCCACTCAGGGTGCTTTCACTTATTTTCCACTTAAAAGGTGAACCTAGTTTACGATTTACGACTTCCGGTAATGAATCGTAAATCGTGAATCGAAACATAAAAGGGCAAATTGTCGAGAAAAGCATTAACAAGCTGTATCATGATCAAAACGACCAAAATCAGAGTTCCAGGTCGAGGCTTGCTCAAGGACTAGTGCCGAATGGTAGGACGGGCATGCGTGCCCCTGCTGGATCGAATATTTATAAAATGGTGAGCCCATCTTAGCGTTCAAAGCGTTTACACAGACACAGTTCTGTGCAATGCATAGGTATTATCTCGCAGAATAACAAAAATGCTTTCGCAACCAGAAGGTATTTTGGCATGTTTCCAGAAAGTACAGCATGACTCTTGAAAACGACGCCCAAAACTATGCGAATAATTGCACAACTGCCGGCTCTCCTCCGACTTCGCGTCCTGGTCAGGGGGAAAATTTTGCAACCATCCCGCAATACAGCGCTACGTCGTATCAAAACGCAGTTCGACAGGTGTGATTCTTCTGATCCTTCTGATTGCACTGAGACTCATTTCATTGTCCATATATGTTGACTTTCAGGCAATTAAGCAGTTTTGGAGTGAAATCTATACGTACAGTATCAACAAAAGGATGATATTCACTTACACTCTTCAAAATAGAGGAGCTACGGCACCGCTCAGATTCACTCAAGTTAGTCCAAAGTTCAACGTGCAAAAAAGTTTAATTCTCAATACTTCAAAAGATTGCTCGTCCAAGGAGCAACATGAATTACTTAATCACAAATCTATTAGGTCGGTCCATAAGTCTTGCAACAAACTGGCCGAATTTTGAATTTAATATTTTCATTATCTTTTTGTTCCATTCATCCGGCATGCTACT